TAATTCACCGCTAAACAGGCAAGCAAGATGTTGTTGTAGGTTCGGAGTCGAAGTGTTCCTTTCACGGCCTTTATCACCAGCGCGTTCAGCAGAACGGTGAAAGGAGAAGTGATGCTGTTGTTGATGATAGTGACAATGAAATCCATTGGGACACTTGTTCATCCCAGAGTAGTTAAATATATCTTGAGTCGGATTCCTAATGAAGATCAACTGAACCTTAAGATCAATAGGTTGGATATTAGATGCTTTCGAATGCTTTGATCGACCCGTTCTACTCTAGTGCGCCTGTGTTTCACTTTACTTTTTCTCACCCATAAATTTAATAAATTGTTATTTACGCTTGTTCATTTTGTTGGTAATGGTAAGTTCAAAGCCTAATGAAGATCAACTCAATCCCAGTGATCACGATTTAATGGAACACCACTTAAGTGCGCAAGTGTTTCCACTTGACTTTTACTCGTATGGAAAGAAAATAATTTATTTTTCTTATAAATAAGAAGATTTTAATTTTGTTGATCGTTATGAGTTCAGTGTCTAATGAGGATCAACTCACTCTCACGAAGCGACCCGTTAAATTTTATCATCCTTGTGGGCGACTTGATGGAGAGCCACCTAGGTCAGTGTTTACGTTTCCCTAATTGTAAGGATTTCAGAATTGGAACTAATTGCGACAGACCTTCTCCCATAGTGAGGGAAGTTTAAGCTGGCAAAGTGAGCTAAAATCATTATCAACTAAGGAGCATTGCATGAATCTCTGGGATGAGTCATCCATTTTTTGTTGGTGTTTTGACTCGAATCTTCCTTCGAGGTCATTTTCAAAAGGCTACGAATAGGCTGAATCCCTCTGATCATATCAGAGTTTTCTATTGCGAGTTCGAGTTTTATCTTAGTACTAGTAAACGATTCCTTTCTCAATGGTTTCCCCTATTATTTTAGTGTTAGTCAAGTAGGTATTGAACTCAAGCATAAAGAAGTTAGGCGAGAGGCCAATTTGAAACAGAATTCAGCGATGAGTTAGGTGATTTATCTTTTTGAAATTAAATTGTTTAAGTACCTCCAAATACTCTTCCTTTGATTTTAGTGGCCGTTGCGGTCACTTTGGTGTGGGCTTTTTAAAACTCAGTCGAAATGAGCTCTAGTTAGAAACTGTTATCATTATAATGATGGAAAGGCCGCTACTCAATCAGAAAAGAAGCTTTCGCTAGTGCGACGATAGCATCATGAATAGGGCCAAAATTTCCGTGGAACAAACTGCAATTTAAAAAAATTGTGAATTTTTCAGAATAGATAGAGAGTTTTATTCTTAAGTTTTTAACATGATTTCTGTCAAACACAGACGTCAAAGATCAAAACTTACCAGGTTAAATGCAAACTGAACCGTGTGTTGGTGAGGGAAATGTCATGTGTTGAGTTGGATACCAAATGAAGATCAAGTAAACCTTTGGATCAATGGGTCAAATATTAGCTGATTTCCAGAGGCTTTTATAGATGAGCTCAGTTGACTCTTGTGTGAATGTGTTTCCACTCAACTTTTTCTGGCGCATAAATCACAGTTATCCATAATTGTATAATTTATGATGTCCTTTTTTGTTGGAAATCACAAATATAAGTTTGGTTATACTATCAAAAAGATTAATAGGAAAAATAAACGAAAGGGACTTGGAAGGGATGGAGATGGAGAGGATTGGCAGCGACCAGAAACAAACATCTTCCATATTTAAGAAAATTTAAGCCGGCAGGATGAGTTCAATAACGGCTTAAATCAATTGTA